TAACACATCTGTGATGTGCAGGAAGAGTGATCACATCTTCTGTATCTATTAAATTGTTTTCTTCATTCATAATTCATAAATCATTTAAATTGTGAAACTCTACAGAGGATTCTTCGGTAAAACTTCGGAAACACGGACCCAGCCCCAATGACCTTGACCTTGGCATATGTTGTCAAGGTCACCTTACTGATTGTAAGTCAATAAATGCTGGACTGTCTACAATCGAGAGGGGCTGAAGATCCTCAATAATAAATCGCAATATAGCTCTATCTAACGTGTTTTGAGTTATTGCAATTTTTCCAGAGCCCCATCTTTCCAATTTTTGTTGTTTCTGTGTATTACAAGTATTAAGCGTGTCTTCATTTGGTCGTTTTGCAAGTTTACATTTTGCGTTTTCTATATTTTGTAATATTGGGCGTAAATATTGTTGGTGTTTTGCCTAATAATTTATAATATATTATATATTACACATTAACATAGCATGTAAATAAACAAGAGAAACTTAAAAAATTAATATAAATATGAAAATTAAAGATACAACATACAACTTACATTTATATGCTTCTTTAAATTTGCCGATGAGCTTTTATTAGCATGTATGATTTTTCCGCCGACGCATAATTTGCAAGAAAATGCAAAGTTGTTTTCATTACTAAAGTTAGGTAACAAAATAAACACTTCAGAGAATGCCGGCCATGGCATTTTTTTGTTTGGCGACGTACTTGCTTTTTCACTTGTTACAGTTGTTTCATTCGAGGATGTACTGTCCTGGTTCATTTCACTTATGATCTCAATCTCACTCAATGTTGTATTCATGTTTTCACTATATTATTTCACACCAAAAGATGCAATAAAGACACCAAGAAATAACGTGGTATGCACAAAAGAAACAAACGACAAATGACTAATGAAGAGTATATGATTTCGCGCGTTGACATGTTCTCACTTGTTTGAACCAGCAACATAAGGACGAGATATTGCCGTAGCGTCTTACGTCACTTTATACGGGGTTTACAATGCGAGTTTCAGAGTCGCAGTCGTAAGAATAATCGACTGTAATTGGTCAATTCAGTCAGACACATAGGGATTGATCAATCATAGTTGACTATTCTTACGATTACGACTCTGAGACTGGCATTGTAGACCCCGCAATACGTGAAAACTAAGAACCTTGCTTATGCGATACGTAAGCCCAACCCTACAGCAACACACAAAAAGCAACGTTACTAACCACGGTTACTTAACTGTTCCAACAGTCATCGATCATATAGAACCGAGACATCGATAAATGCTTACAGCGCATTCTCATGTGACATTGACTTTCAGCGCCCTATATCGGAATTTTTGTCCAATCAAGAATAATGCGCGCGACCAGCGCGCGATCTACTGAACAGATATAAAAGATAATAGAGAACTAAAGTAACGATAAAAGTAACGGCTGAATTCGTTACCGTTACTGAAAAAATGTAACGACGTTACCGTTACCGTTACAGACATAAAAAAGTAACGATCGTTACCGAAAAAAAGTAACGAAAGCGGTAACGGCGTTACAAGTAACGCGTTACTTCCCAACCCTGTATACATATATATATGTTGACATTGAACTACTATCATATTAGATAAGGGTAAAATGAAAAATTAACCCAAGTTGACAGTCATACCCAACCAACACTCAATTATTGAAAGGTAACACCGAAAATGACACCAAAATATAAGTCACACCAAATTATTTGAAGGTAACACCAAAAATCATATTTAGGTTGACGGTTATATCCAACCAACACTCAATTATTTGAAGGTAACACCGAAAATGACACAAAAATGTAGGTTACACTGAATTATTTGAGAGCAACACCAAAAATTATACTTAGGTTGACAGTCACACCCAACCAACACTCAATTATATTTGATGGTAACACTGAAAATAACACCCAAAATGAAGATCACACTCAATTATTTAAGGGTAACACCCGAAATGACAACAAAATTGAGGGTAAACCCTCAAAAGACACCCAAATTGATGGTAAACACCAAAAATTTCGGTGTATTTTTCGTAAGGGTTGCAGCACAATATTACTGTTACATTACTGTGTAATATTTCTATGTAACATATCAGTAATATTAATGTAATATTACATTGCAATATGTAATATTACCGCAATATTACAATATAATATTACTGATATATTGCGTGATATTATGTGCTATGTGGGTTATTACCCACACAAAAATTTCCAGATAACCTTTTCTGTCAGATAAGAAAGTATTGTATATACACCCAGATAGCACATGGACGTCCACAGGATGTCCGATGGACGGCCGCATCTGGACATTCGGACGTCCAAAGTACGTCCATTTAAGGCCCGTGGGATGTCCATTGGTCGCCCATGGGATGTCCAAAATGCACTGCTTTAGAGATCCATAGGACGTCCAAAATACATCCAACTTTGGATCTATTTTGGACCTGTTTTGGACCTATAACCGAGCAGAAATTTCAGTAGGGTCCTGGTAGGGGTCTAATAAGGATGCCTTAATGCCTGGTCAGGCACTCATCAGGCAGCCCTGACAGGGCCCTGACCGTAAATGTAACGTCGAGAATTAAAATTGCCTGATCAGGTTTTCCTTATCAAGACCTCATGACTTTCCCTTTGTCGCATTTTCTAATAGGGGGTTGGGTATCAGTAGGCTTCCTATTCAAAAATTCTTAAACTAATTTTTAAATTGTGTTAAATTACGTAGTCATCAAAAGTATATTCAGGTTATTGAAGTTTATCCATGATCCAGACAACTCGCTGTCGCATCATATCGGCTCGCCTCTTATACTAATACGGGATGATTTTTACATACGAGAAAGACTAACACGCGGTCGCCACGTCGCGGCAGTATGTGGTACTAGTGCTATCTATTCAGGTTAACGTTTATCAAATTCTATGAGAGAATCAGGCGTACCGGATCAGGCACATGTCAGGGATTCCTTAATTATTAGGGCATTCTTTGCTAGACAGCACACGACGTCCAATGGACGTCCATTTTATGTTCTTATTTAGTCCAAACGTCCATGGACCTAATATGGACGTTTTAAGAACGTACATTATTGGACGTACAAAATATGTTAATTTTGGTACGTTTTAAAGATGTCCATTTTATGTATTTATAAGAAACTTCCCAATAAACACAAGTACGTCCTATGTACGTACAATGAACATCCATGCCGGATATTGTGTACATACATCGAACGTCCATATCAGTTGCAGCTGACGTACAAAGAACGTCCATTGTACACCCATTTGCAACTCCAATAGACATCCATAAGTTGTCCATTAATGAACATTTATGGATGAATTATGGATGAATTATGGATGAATTATGGATCGTAAATGAATAAACTATGAATCTAATGGATGAACTTTGGACTTTTTATGGACAAAATTGAAATCTCTACTGGATACATTCCCGGGTAGAAATTTTACTGGGGTGAAAATTCAATTTTTTAAACTCATTTTTAAATTGTGTTAAATTACATAGTCATCAAAAGTATATTCAGGTTATTGAAGTTTATCCATGATCCAACAACTCGCTGTCGCATCATATCGGCTCGCCTCTTATACTAATACGGGATGATGTTTACTTACGAGAAAGACTAACGCGCGGTCGCCACGCCGCGGCAGTGAGTGGTACTAGTGCTATATATTCAGGTTAACGTTTATCAAATTCTATGAGGGAATCAGGCGTACCGGATCAGGCACATTTCAGGGATTCCTTATTAGGGCATTTCTTACTTCCTCCCTATCGGACCCTGACGTCATACACAAGGCATGCATGATTTCATTTCTACTCGGGAGTATATATCCATAAATTAGTTATATAAAGGGAATCTTAAATGGATGTCCACTGGACGTCCGTTTGTGCACATCCAATGTATATCTTTGTATGGATGTACAATGGACGATCTTATTATGTCCATGGACGTATAGTAGTAAAATGAACGTAAAACGGACGTCCATAAGATGTACGGTGCTATTTGGGATGCGTTTGGCGGCTCACATATGCCTTTATTTATATGTTGCGACGTTATATCTATTCACGGATCGTACCAATATAATATAGTATAACAAATTATAACAATTATAATTACTAATACTTATTATATTCATTATACTATTATATTCATTATAATCTCCATTATATATTATATTGACAATTATCATTTTTCTAATGTTACTTTATTTCATATTGCAAGACTTTAAGCAGATAGCATGTATAAAAAGTTATTTTTGCAAAGGCTGTAGTACTTATATACAAGTGATAGTTAAAATAGTCCCACACGGAACAAAACCTCCAATGGACGTTCATAAAACATCCATAACTCCACCAAACGTCCACCTCCATGGTGGAAATTAAATAGATGTCTTATGGACGTTCATTTTACATCTACGATGGATGTCCATGAAATATCCATCAGAAACATCCATTAGAGCTTTCATCATGTGTATGATCTGATCCCATAGAGAACAAAACATCTAATGGACATCCACTGAACATCCATCATGGAAATTCAGAACTTCCAGTGGAGGTCCACGTAACGTTCACAAACTCCACTGATCGTCAAAATGTCCGCTTGTAACACCTCCACTGGATCTCCATAAGAAGTAATGATAGAGGTTCTATGGAAATTATTATATAGACCCAGCAAACAGCAAAGTAACAATTACATAACATCAATGCAAATGTAATATAACAGGCATGTGTTACATTACATTTATATTGATGTTAAGTAACTGTATACTTTGGTATTTGCTGGGGACATATATTGAAGCTTTTATAGACATATAATGGAAATCTACTGGAGTTCCTTTTTGGAGGGTTAGACATTTCATGGAACATTTTTAGATTTAATATGGATATATAATGGAGCTCTAATGGATGTTTTTCAGAGCTTCTATAGATATTTAATGGAATTTTCTTGGAGCATCTTTAGGTCACGCATGGATATTCGTGGAGCTCTTATAGAATTAAGATTTAAATGTGACTCTGCGCAGCACACGGACACGGTTGCGCTTGTGTGAGTGAGCACCGTGTGTAGCATTTTGATGGTGCTCGGAACCCAAAGTTTGCATCTCTGGCCCAAACGTACCGCGTGCATATGCGCGCTGCTGTCTCATCGCCCGTCCACTGTCTTCTGGGCGGTCGATCGTCATTTTGTGGTGAACGCCCAAACGTACCGTGTGCATATCCTCCATTACTTCGGTAGAGCTCGATAGACTGCTACGCAGGACGGTGAGATAGAAATATTGCCTTTTGAAAAGTAGGCACACGTAGGTACGTATATGTGCAACCATGTCTCTTTCTCTGAAGCGTAAGTCGATCGTCATTTTGTGGTGAACGCCCAAACGTACCGTGTGCATATCCTCCATTACTTCGGTAGAGCTCGATAGACTGCTACGCAGGACGGTGAGATAGAAATATTGCCTTTTGAAAAGTAGGTACACGTAGGTACGTATATGTGCAACCATGTGTCTTTCTCTGAAGCGTAAGTTATTACCTTCTATATCTGCAAGACATCGTCGTAGGTTAATCCGAGAAGAACATGAAATTTTTTCATCAATATA